TTTGTCAAGCTTCGCAAAACAGGATTTGATAATCTGCCATAGCTTAAATCCATTTGATGTGGTACATTTGAAATTAAATTGATCTTGTTGCCACGGAGAGAGACGGCGATAATGACAAACACCGGGAGAAGCGGTTGCAGCAGGGGGTGCGCGTGTCCACCGAGACACTTGATATTGCACTGATTCATTTTAACTTTATTCAAGATGTTACATAGCACACTGAAGAATGTTTCAAAGTTATTTCACTTTTATGGAGGGTTATTAATGGTAAAGGAACACAAAGTTGGTAAATTCTTCCTAATTTGCACAAATCAAAGTTTCAACACAGACAAATTTTGTAAGAAACCCTAATAATTCCTTGAAAATAAACGTAACTAGCTTTTCAGAAGTTTCTAAAACCCTCTAATGAGTAAGCAATGACTTTCCCCTTTTCTGTGTGACACTGTAAATATGACTTGATACAGATACTTGTAACTTTTAGCTGTGTTTATCTTGCAAGCAAACACAGTAAATATAATGGCAAGGGAGACAGTAAAAACTTCAAATTTCACAGTTAGAGAACTGCAGCAAAGAATGGCATCTTGGGAACACAGTGTCTCAATAACAATTATATTTAGGTGTTGGCTATATGCTAAACAGTTGTTTGGAACAGATGTCATGACAAATTTAAACTTATGGAGTTTACTAAACTCTCCTGGGATTGTGAACTTGGTGCTTAGGTCAGATGAGGACTTTGTGTAAATGGCCCTGAGGAGAGTTTTTTTCAAGTCCAGAGGACTCCAAAGTGCTTTACGCCACGTTGAGTCATTCTGATAGATGCAAGGTTCCCAGGCATCAGTGCCTCTGGATTCAGTGGTTCCCAAAGTGTGGGGCACGCACCTTTGGGGGGCACGGGAAGCAATATGGATGAATGAAAAAAAAAAAAATCAGTTACACAAATGTGTTTCACTGTAAAGATGGTTTGTAGTGTGTGTTTTTATTTTTTTGCAACCAATAATCTTCAGTGGAGTTTGAAAACAAAATATGTGTGAAGGTTTATGTCTGGTTGATGTGTGTGCCCAGTTGAGTTTTTCTTTTTCTTTTGGGGGGGGGGTTTTATTGTAATCAATAGGGGGGTCCAGAAGAAAATCTTTGGGAACCACTGCTCTGATCAACACCAGTAGGCACAGAGGGTGAAGTGTTTTGCCCAAGGACTCAAAAACTAATACAAACAGATCAGGATTTCAAACCGGCAACCCACCAATTGGACCAACACCTACCGCCATTATGTGTGTCGCTTTTGACGCCCTCACTCTCTGACTCAAACACATTGTGTGAACGGGCTGTGAAATTATCCTCTTATTTCTTCCATATTTAGGTTAATTTGGTTGAATCAGAATGTAATTTCCATACTCTATTAACCAGAAATTAACCAGAAAGTTGGTCGAACTGTGAGTTTCACTTTCAGTTTCAAGCATCTGCATCCTGAGGTGATCAACTCACAGACAGAGCCTCTTCATAGTGTTGCATAAAATAATGTTATTGACTCATTGCTACAATATCAGAATATCAGTTGTGTAAACACTGCCTAGCTGTTGATCAAATTAATATATGCCAAAGTGTGAAATGTGTAGGATGGTGATGCTGGAGCATTTGCCAATAAAAGCTCAGCTTCCTGCTCTCATGAAATGCAAGGCAGACACACAATGGTGTGATGAGGACATGAGACAGTGGGGTGTTTTTGGCAACAAACCACCCAGAGGGGTTTGGTGAGAGAAGTATGTGGAGAAGCACATTGAGACGCTGCTTAGTACAGTAGACGATCTATGACGCTGAGAACCCTGAAACCTTTGTTCGTGTCATTGTGATCTTTTTCAAATACCTGTTGACTGCCAGAAAACTGAAAATGGGTCATTATTGGTGATTCAAAATCAACACGGGAATGGTTCACCAGACACTGAATCAGCTTTTCTTCCTGGCCTTCACAGTCTACAAACCTTAATAAATAATGAGCACCTGTAGATTGAACAGAAGGAAGAGGGCATAGGAGAGGACTAAACACTTTGAATGATAGACAGATTGTGTAGAGAGGAATGGTCAAAGATCAATCTGGGTTCAATATTGTGAAATTAGAAAAGTTCTGTTGTACTGACAAATAGGTTTTATAGAAAGTATTGACAGTACCATGAACTTTAGTGCATGTAATTTTGTGAAAACTACTGAGTCTCTTTCGTCCCTACCGACTAACTTTATCAAATTATCCTTCTCTAAAAATCTCAACATTACATTAAGCTACAAATATCAAAGACGAATTTATTTTCAACATTTTTACTGATTTTTATCGTATCAACAAATTTGTCAGCATTTATATTTGACAAATGTGTCTTCTCTTTTTATGCAAAAATTAAACACAACTCAAAGATATTATTTTCATGGGTTTTAGGCAAAAACATGTATATTCGTCTTGAAAACCTTTGCCAATGCATGCAGTTAACCTAAGACAAACTTGTTCGGAACCAGGCTGACGATAAACACCGCTTCCTTGTGTCAACAAAACCCGAGGACCAGCGTGAGATGAAAAACAGCCTCTTACTCAACACGTCAAAAACAGTGAAGACATCAGTGAAGCTCAGAAAGAGGACAAACTTCAAAGCCACATTTCATTCCTCAGACCAACTCTAATCCCTGGAGGATTCCTGCAGATTCCTCTGAGCATAGATCAGTGACTGAAATGGACCATCATCCCCAAACTGCATCACACACAAAAACAAAGGCAGTGCTTTCTTAGGTAACGTTAAAAATTCCTTGTCAAAAAGAAGCTGATGGATCACCTCTGTGGTCGAGACGAGTTCTGACTCTAGGCTGTCACTGAAGGCTCGATGAATGTCACATGTGATGTTAACACTGTTAAAATTTTATATAGAGATTTAGGACCAGGTTTCCTTTTCAGCCACAACTTTTTCCAACAACTTTTTCCATCTTCACACGAGTTTCAACTTAAAAAGTGTTTATCTCACCTGCATACCCAAAAATATTATATACCTTTGATATAAGTAGTAAAACATATACCTGGTGTTATTGTGGCCTGTTTATTTTACAGAGTTCATTCCACTTTATTTTTCAGACCCTTTGAATTTTCTGCATTTTGTTTGGTTGAATCCACAAATTTTTATGTTTTTATTTAGATTTTATTTTGCGGACCAACACAAAGTGGAGATCACTAAGAAAATCTCCAGAGCAACATCTGAAATGTGTTGTGTGCATTTATGTTTGGATAATAGGCCGAAAAGTGTGTTAGTTGTTCAGGCTTGGTAAATTGTGTTTCACCTAAATCGTTGACCAAAAGCGACTCCACAGCTATATTCCTGACAGATCTGCTTTGTCCCCTGGTCTTTATGATGCTGCATGTTCACTAATGAATACAAATGAACTTCTCCTTAACAGTGACATGCTCCTTAACAGTGACATGCTTCTTTGTGTTGCTCTGTCACACAAACTGCGGTGGTTCTCACATGAACGGCACTCTGGGTGACTCCCTTTGACTTTCACCAACCAGCCAATCAAAATGCAGGAAGTCATATCAAATGCCGTCACTGCACACAATAAATAAGCAGTCGTACTCAGAAACTGCTGAATAAGGGGTATGAAAGTATACCTGGCAAATCTGGTTAATAAAATAATTAATTTCCATAACTTTAACCTGTTAGCAAGACTTTCACTTCTTTTACTTCTGAAGTTTAGTTTTCACACTCTGGCACAAAGTGAAGCGCAGAGATAAAGCCTGTTGTCTAGGTGAAACAATGCAGGCGTATATTTCAAAGATTTGCTCCGTAAAGCAAAAAAGATTGGAGGTGTCAAAGAGCTCAGGCGTCTTCACACGTGTTCCTCCACCAGCATTTTTACATCAGAAGTACTTTGACTTTGTTCTAGATGAAACAATACAGAAAGGAAATAACATTTTTATATAGTGTCCTGTATCCATGTCGGTATTTACTCGTTTTCACGCATATTTTCTTGATGCCAACCTCAGTGATCACCGTGTGCTGAAATAACTGAACACCTACTATTCCCAGCTTTGCAGATTTGGATTAAAATATGTTAACAGCCTACTCTTGAACATCACTTAGCCCACTTCTCTCAAGTATCATCCCACAAAGCTCATTTAAGCTCCCTCACTGGGAAAAGACCCTTGAATCAAAGCTTCCACGCCTTTACTTTAGCAAGTTAAGTTGGTTTCTGTGCATGCTTCAGTGGAGCCAAACTTTTATAAAGTTGTTTAAATACCTGCCATATAAAATCTATCTTATGGTCAAACAATTTGCAGGCTTTTTTCTTCCTTTTTTTATGTTTTTAACCAAACAGAAATGTCAAACATTTTAAAAAGAGATTTTTTTAAAAAAATTTACAATTGCATATTTAATTAAAGTGAAAACTGAACAAATATTATTTGTGATCTAATGACAAAAAATGGGGGCTGTCTTAGTGTCATACATTTGTGGAAGTTATTATGTAAAGACCAATACTAATAAGAGTCACTATTGTAGGCCTAAAGAGACACATGTAGCTCAGAGCATTTTTTTTATTTTTTTTATTGAAATTATGCAACGTCAGCTGAGTTTATTTAAAGTTACAGATAAATTAATTTCATTTTACTTTGGAAAATAAAAAAAAGTTTGATCCAATTACACTCAGATTTCACTCAGTCAAATTCTAGTTTAATCAATTTCAGCCCCAGGGAATTTAATTGTCTTCATGTTACACAGTGTGATTACATTAGATGGAAACTCACCCCGGTTCTTTCTGCTGTGCAATCATACAGGAATCCAGTATTAGGTGGAGAGTCAATATTCATAGTTTTTCAGGAAAAGTAGTGCTTTCCTCTTGCATCTCGCACGTAATCAAATTATGTTTCAGCAAACCTCATGATTCCTTCTTCCACATCTTTGGGGGTAACACACTTGTCATGTTGAATCACTGAGGTTTTAATCCATACTTTTTGGGGGTTTTCTTTTGTTTTGCAGGTTCTGGCATGGCGAGTACAGAGTGGCAGTGAACATCAATGACTACCTAGACATCTACTGTCCTTACTACGAGGGTCCTCCATCCCACGGGCGAATGGAGCGCTACATCCTTTTTATGGTCAACCACGAAGGCTACACTTCCTGCCAGCACAGGATGCGCGGCTTCAAACGCTGGGAGTGCAACCGCCCCAGTGGTCCTGACGGGCCCCTGCGCTTCTCAGAGAAGTTCCAGCTCTTCACGCCCTTCTCGCTGGGCTTCGAGTTCAGGCCCGGACACGAGTACTACTACATCTGTAAGCCATCAGCTCGCCGTCTCCCTTTTGTGGATTGTTTTGCACAGCCAATATCTGCATGCCATGCATATGCAAGCGAGCGCGTCTGTTTGGATTTGATCCGTGCTCAACATGCATGTGCAAACAGTATGTAAATATCCAATCAGCCGAAGTTGATGGAGTAACTTTTCAAACATAGACCCCTATAGTACTTGCATAGCTACAGGTGTGAATAAACACACCTCTCTCCTCTCCCTCACTCTTTTTTGTATCTTGATGTATCTCTCACCGTTTCTCAATATCATAAGTGGTGTGCTCAGCAAAGTGGTAAAAATGTCACCAGGGGTACTTTGTAATCATTTTTATATTAGCTGTATTGATGTTTCTCCTCACTTCAACAAGTGATGTATTAGTGGCACAAATGAGCTTTGCGCCCCTCGAGAATGTTTTTTCTGAATCAAATTAAAGTGCTATCATTCCTCTGAGCTCACGCGGGACAGGCAGAGGCTTGGCTGTACTCGTAAACACCTTTTTTTTCTTACCCACCAGCTCGCTGTGCCAGATGGGTTCACAGATCAGAGTTACAGATCATTCAAAATTTCACATTAGATTTATTTTTTTTATTTTTTTTTTTTTTTATGTAAAGGTAAGAGGAAACACTTTACACAAAAATTTGGTGAGAAACAAAAAAAAAAAGATCAGACAAGGTTGGGATGTCATTCAAACTTTGTGATTAAACTGTGCTGTTGTTTTCCGAGTAAGTGTCCTCTAAATTGGAGCCAACAGCAGAATGAGCAAGATGTGTTTTACTTAACAGTTTTACTTAACATTAGTCATTTATTGACTTTGAGACTCAACCCATTGGGTGCAGTTTACTAAAGGGGTAGCAAAACATTAGCACATAGTTTCTCTATTTGGATATCATCGGTAGGTAAAAGATCAGTTTCTTATTTATTAATTAGCTCTCATCTCCTCTTTTGTCTGATCAAAACAAATGACAGATGAGGTCATGTGACAGAGAGACAGCAAGCAGCACCTGCAACCACAGTCTCTCTTTCACTGTGAATATAGTTGGGAAGCATGAAAAAAACAAATCTTAGACTGCTGATGGAAAACCCAGGCTGCACAATGTGAAGGAAACATGAAACAGGTCAATCTCAGATTAACTGGCCTTTACAAACCATCTGGTCGGAAATTTTTAAAACCTCAAAACTTCACACAACTCAGAGTGGAAGTTGTTTCTGAATGATGAACACTCAAAGTGAGCTTGTTTGATATAAGCGAAATGAAGAACACAGAAAATGTTGCAAACTGAAGAAACTGAAACCCCATTTTTCTTTTTGTAACGTGTTAAGACCGGGAGAGAGTAACACTCTGAAGAGATAACGAGACGGGTGAACATTTTACATTAAGCCTCTTCTTTTGTTATACAGCAGAGCTATTTTCTTACGTTTATACAGACAAGCTTTAAACTTGCTTGAATTTCAAAATGTTGGCAGCCTTTCATAAATTCTTTGAGTTTAGGTGAGGAATTACGTACTCTAAAAATGTACACCAGTTCACTGCTGTTTCAGTAAAGCTAGCCACGCTAGCTGGTAACTACTTGAGTGCCATCAGTGACAGTCCACAGCATGACGCCATTTCTTCACAGGTGGCAGAAAAACCGACCTTGATCTTTTATAGCGGGAGATTGTGTATTTGAGCCACGGCTTTTAACAGGATGGAGGTCCTGAGCCACAGGTTTCTGTTCGGCCTGAGAGTGAGACGGCTTTCTCTGCCCTTGGACATGGTTCTCATGTTGCATCAATATTGCTTCAGTTCTGAGAGTGCTTTCAGAAAAGAAGCCCACTGACGGACAATGTCTGAGGCTTTGATTCACTCCTTCCCTGCTGTTCTGCAGTAATATTTTACTTGTCATGCAGAAGCAGTTTTTGTTTTTTGCGGTGCAATAAAAAAGCAAAAAACAATCACAAAGCAATAAAAAATCTATGTCCCGGTGTGAAAATAATCATCTAAATTTTAATATTTCTAATATTTGCGAGTATGGTACTTGAGTTGTCAACACTAAAAAAGGCACAGCAGGCAGCAGTCGGCAAGCTAAAGGGGCGCAGATAACAAGTCATGCTGCTATTTTCCCAGTCAGCACACACTCACATTGTTTTTCATCTTACGTTAAGACACTTTGGGGCCCTCCAGACTTGTATAGTTGCTGACTGTGGTATTGTGTCTCTGGAACCCCTTGGGCTTGTGTGCATCCAGATGACTGGAGTGCTTGTGATTATCTTTCGCTTCGCGTGTGTACGGGGGGCCGTCCAGGGTGGGCGGGGAGGGCTCGACTTGGGGGTCAGCTGTCAAACAATCGTGAGTCTGTGAAAGGCCACGTCCGTCATCTTGATTGACAGCACTGGCGCATGATTCTCGTTTCTCTCTGTCTCTGATCGGAGCCAACCAGCAGCGCTGAACTCACACGCTGGTCAGGCCTGTTGTGGAACTGCTGCCCAAAGTAGCTGACCTTTCCGATGAACCAGTGTTTGTGTGCGTTTTCTCCTCACTGGCTTGTGAAACATGTTAAGTGTTGATGGTGATTTGTGGCTAAGGTCTGCCAGAGCGTCCTTCGGTGTGTTTGTGTGTGTGTCCGTATGTATATGCAAGCAGGACGTGTGTGCGTGTGTGTTTTGTCATGTGCTTGACATGTTGACAGGTCAGTTCCACCCCACACTTGCTTTTCCCAGCTGCCATCTGATGGGGTTGAGTGGTTTTCAATGGGTTTTCAGGATAGATCGGATTGCGGATGTGCTGGGAAACGGAGGTGCTGGGATAGTTGATAAAACAAGGAAAAGGGCAAAGGTGAAACCGAAAGGGAGGGGGCATTAGGCAGAGACGAAGAAAAAAAAGTTCCAGGATGTAACAGAGTGCCCAAAATGGTGAAAAGAGGAGAAACAGCCTAGTTATTTTCAACATGTAACGGTTGGGAATGAAGCAACGGTTACGTCAAGGGTAAAGGAGGTGAAAGACAGAAGGATGAACGAAGGGAGGAGTTGATGACAGACACAGAGGGCGCAAAGGGCAAAGGAGGGGTCACATTTATTTCCTGCGCTCTGTGGATCCAGATGATGATCCACTGTGAGGTCACCATGGTCTCTGGATATGCAGACCTCCTCACGGGAGGAAAACAATAGTTCTTCTCCCACGTTTTCCTGCACACGCACTTGCGTGCGGGCGGCGGGGGCGTGTGCATGGCGACATGCGTGAGTGGTCAAACTCTGGCCACCGGCTCCTCTGAGGTCTCCAGCTCTATTTCACATCAGAGTGAGGTGGGACTAAAAACCCTGATTCAATTTCATCCACTATACTTTGAAGTTCGAATCACTGGAACTTTTTTCCCCATTTTTTATTTATTTTTTTTGACATTTCTTCCCCTTCTTTTCAGTGGGAAGAAGTATAAAGTCCAGACCACTCAGCGGCACTGTGGTTAACACTGTCACCTCACAGCAAGTGGGGACTTGCATCTGCTGGGATTTTGCATGGATTTCCTTTCCAATTCCAAAGACATTCAAGTCAGGTCGATTTGAGAGGCAGCTATTTCCCCTAGGTGTGAATGTGAGTGTGACTGAATCCCATTGGGCAGGCTGATCCATTACAGAGTTGTTTACATTGCTCAGTGTGTTTATAGAATTTCACAAGCTCAGGAACATTGGTTCAGGATCGCTTTAAAGGGCCTGAAATAACAACCTCAGCCATATGAAAGACTAACTGCATCAAAAACACTAAAAAGACTGCATGAATAAATACATAAATTTCACATTTTGACAGATTTTTAACGGTTAGTTTAATCAGAAGTGTGTCATTTGAGATGTATTTCTGATTTAATTATGAAAAATAGCCAAATAACACAACTGCTAACGTTAGACACTGATGCGGTTTTCTGACGATGATTTGCAGATTGTCGTTTATCACCTTACAAACACAAACTTCAGTGGATTTTACAGAGATGTTATGTGATGCATCAGCAAACTGTGAAGGGGGAAGAAAGGGCTACCCGTTTGTCAAGATTTTCAAATTAAAACTGGAAGAATCTGCCGAGCGTTTGCAATTAACCCCCCTTTACTCTGATTCCACCAAATGAAACCAAGTGCAGCTGCCTTCAAATGACATCTGAGACTGAGTGTAATTTATTTTCTCTATAAATCCAGCTGTCCTGGTTCCTCCATCTCAGGTGGACGAATTTGTCAACAGAACTGCTTTTTTGTCTCACAAATCTGGTTTGCCAGAAAAAAAAGTAGTTGCCTGCATGCAGAATACTTTTGAGTGTTGGAAAATTAACACCAGACCAAAAAAAGTGAGTCTGCTGAAGTCTAGAGACTAGAAGCTGTTCAGAATAAAAGTATTTCTCAACTTGTATAGGTTTGATACAAAAATACAAAGAAAAAATATATATTATTTTAAAACTGTAAAATAAAAATAAAAATATTCTTTGGCTGTTTAAATGTAAGAAATTAAACATTTTGAGAAACTTTTATCCTTTTTTGCAAAAATATACAGTCAAAGTACCTCTTAAAGTGTTGATAGTCTGACATGCAGATGAAGTCAATTTTGTGCTGCTGCTACACAGAGTTAAGCAAAAATATGAGTTTGAGTGTTAAAACCAAAACATGGAAATATTTGGGACTTTTCACCCTTTCTTCTAATTAGCTTAGATAAAACACTGGCTTTTAAAACCGCTGCAGCAATATTTTAAAAAATGGTGAGTGGCTATGATTAAAAATGAAAATAATAGAAAAAAAAAAGTATGAAATTTAAAGCTGAAGGTCAGTTTAAAAAAAATAAATAAAGATGAGAGGATCCGTTATTACTTTAAAAACGTTTAACTTTTAATTTTTCTCAAGCAAATCCATGACATGGAGTGTGAGGGTTAACTAAGTCGTGATGGGATAACCCAGCAGGCAATTTGAATAATTGTAAAACTGCTTGAGAGGAAGCGGCACTAAATTATGCCGAGAGAAAAGAGGGAGGCATTTAACAGGCCCGCATTACTCAGCTGGAGTTATTTGTTATTTCTGATTGAAGCCAAAAGGCCAACGCCAATAAACTTTCTATATATTCTATAAACTCGCATCATCATTATTATTTTTTTACGTGACAAATAGCAGAATATCTGTCTAAAAACAGCTAGTTTCTGTCTTTTTGGTGCACACGTTTTTAGCTCTTTGATGAAACTTGAAATTAAAAAGTTAAGACATCGCTGTTAAATCAAGATTTGGCAATGTCTTGTATCCAAAAATCTGATTTTTGGATACAAAAATGTAATTTATTGTGGATTTTTCTTCAATTCACACAAGGGTAAATGCCACATGAAGGGTCAATTGCAAACATAGATCCACAGTGACATTTGGTGAAATGTTCCTTAGCAAGTCACACCACTATCTGTTTTTATTTAGCTTGCTACCATTAGTCTCTTTCTATTTAGCTTCTCTTATCTCCAGTATTCAGCCTTCCCTCAGATCTCTGCTCATATTCTCACCCAGCAGTTGTATTTAAGGCTTTATTTCTCACTGCTGGATTCTATTCACACTTTTGCCCTGGTTCCTTTGTTGATGTTTGTACAAATTTTCTCATTCTGAAATCCTTCAGTCTAGCGTCCAACATGCATTACCTGAAGTTCTACTGTCACCTGCTGTCACGGTTCTGTGGTGTTTGGATTTCATCCATTTGGATTTTGATTATTTCTTAAGCGTTTATCTGCTGTGCCTAATCCCTCCTCTGTAATTAGTTCCTTGTTCTCTTTATTAACCCTCAGCGTACATATTTTCTCACCTGTGTCATTGTTTGATGCCGGGTTCTTGCGTTCATGCATGCGCTGTCTGTGTTTGTGTGTTCCTAATTTTCCCTGAGTTCTGAATAGGTGTTTTTGGACTGTTTTTGTTAAAGATTGCATCTGAAAATGTCTTCAAAATCAACAACTCATGACATATGGGTGTGTAGAGCAGCTAAAAATTGTCCTTGAGTAAAAGTAGCACTACAACATTCTTGTACTCGTGTAAAAGTAAAAAGTAGATTTCTCAGATAAGTGAGAATAAAACCACATTTGGTGAAAAGGTTACTCAGTAACTCAGTAGCAAATCTTAACATCTGATTTAATATTCTAAATGTCTTTATGCTCTTTTCTGGCATTTTAAAGACCAGAAACTAACATTAGAACAACAAAGCTAGTATGTGAACAAGTAATAAGGTGGGACTGTTTCTCACATATTTTTGATTAAAATATGTTTGTACTGGAAAAGGGTATCCAGCAACCTTACTCAATTTTGCTCAAGTATGAGTTGAACGTATTAAATGAAAAGGTTATTGGATCTTATTTCGTGCACTTGCCTTATTTGTGAAGTTTAGTTGTGTCCAGCCATTGGAGGCAACCAATGGAGTCCATCCAGTGACCGTATATTAACCCCATATTTACACTGCTTGTGTCTCCACAGCAGAAATTATGTACCAATTATAGTCAATGGCAGTGTTTACACTGCCTCCACACGCAAGCGCATCACCTCCACATCACCTCCAACATGCAAAATCTAATGACACCTGACCCCCAAAAAAGCACTAAAACGCCATCAGTTAGATGCTTCCTGTATGTGATCAGCTTCACCAATGCTTCAACCTCTAAACTGATCACATTTTCCAATCTCTCTCTGTTTACAGCGTCTCCTCACCCAAACCATGTGGGCCGGGCATGTCTAAAGCTGAAGGTGTATGTCAGACCTCCAGGTAAGTCACGCTCTAACTAAACACACACACACACACACACACACACACACACACAAGCGCACGCACACAAAGGTCCAGATTGCCTATCAAAGTAAAATTAGAGGAGAATAAGAGGTCTGATGGAATGCCCTGGCAACAGTCTCTGCTCTGATTCAAAGACCAGCCAGGCAACACTTTGACACCTTCAGACACAAAACACACACTCTGACAGCACACGCATTCACACGTACACGCATGCACTCTTGTGTACGCGAGGGGCGGCGCGCACACTAACACATTGGAATTGGAAACAGACGTGCAGATACGTGTGCGTGTGCATAGGCACAAAGCGGCGTACGCACCTCACATCAAATCACTTCACATCACGCTGGGTGTGAGGGAGACCTTCTGTCCTTGTAAAAAGATCACAGAGCCGGCTGAAAAGTGCTTTCTAAAAAAGGTGACCAACCCTCAGCATGACTCTGCATACTGGATTTCCTCAGAAGATCCGAGACAGGACTCCATCCATTCAATACCTTTGCTTTGCAAAAGTTTTTATATTTCTGAGCAAGGCAAACATTTATGCAGTTTTGTGGAACTTGATGTGATAGACCAACACGAAGTGATGCAGTGGTGTACAACTTTTTTGTCCTCAGTGCCAAAATTGTCAAGTTGAAAGTGCTTGTGGGTCTTCTTTTCTCTTACTCTTTTTTTTTAATTATATGACATTTATTACTTTATCTGCTCAAATAAAAAACAAAAACATGCAAGATTTTATTGACGCAAACAAAATGATTTGATTTTGTTTAGTTGCGCAGCACTAAAACAGCACAGGCGTTTTTTGTTTTGTTTTTTTTTTACTTTTTGGGGACGGGTGGGTGGATTAGATTGTTTTCTCAAGTCAAGTCTGAGTAAAACTTGCTGGATTCTTGTGGTTCTAAAATATACATATATATTTTTTAAAGATTTTATTGGCTTTAGCGGCCTTTATTTGACTGAATTGACAGGAAAGTGGGTAATAAGAGAAGGGGAAGACATGCAGCAAAGGTCACCAGACCAGGAATCGAACCTGCGATGGCCTCGTCGAGGACTAAGGCCTCAATGGACGGGGCTCCATTGACCCCCAATAGTTCTAAAATATTACAAAATCATGATAAATGCAAAAACCTGTTCTGTGTTGAGCCAGACCTTTTTCATCATTTTTGGACGATTTATTTGGCTGCAAAACTTGTTGACCTAAAAGAAATGTAAAAATTGTCCAGGTCATAGTTGCCTCACTCTGTACTAAGGGGCCACATGAAATTTTCCAGAGAGCTGCAACTGGCCACTTAACCACACTTTAGACAACCCAGGAACAGTGTGCAGTTGCTAAATGGAAATCAAAAAAGGACACCTAATTTTTCTATTGCATTAAAATCTGAACGTGTGATGTGGAAACATAAATAAGACCTTCAAGACAACAGTTGTGTGCTTAAATATTAGCTTATCAATCAAATCAGCATCTGGCTTTGATAAAACATCTATGAAAGTGAAAAGATATTCAATATTACATTATTATTGAAGTGCAGAGGTGGCTAAGTACTCATATTTTGATGGCATGTTTGTGGGTTTTACCTTATTAAAATTCTTTTGATGTCCAGAGACTAAGTAATATGACTATTATTCATACTTTATTTTTCTTTTAAAAGAAATTTTGAAAACAGTGTATCCCTTTGGTGTTGGTCTATCACACGAATTTGCCAATGAAATATAAATGCTTGCGATTATATTGTTGTGAAATGTGAAAAACGTCCCGGGGTGTAAGTACTTCTGAAGAGTACCAGCATGAGTTTAGTAACATTGGCGACTTTTACGTAACAGATTAATTATTGATTTGTTTTTTCTAAAAGTGGTGGGCTTGTTTCTGAATTTGAAGCTGAGTCGCGATTTCGCTGCCTTGCTTCAAAAAGGAAGAAAAGTAATAATCTATGTCCAAAATGGCTTCCTGGGTGCAGACTGGGCTTGGTGCTCTCACCAGTGTTGGCCTCTAATTCTGCCATTTAAAAATACCTCAAAGGAAGCCTAACATACACAGTGATCACATTCTGGCTTACATTACACTACAATTTTTTTTTTTTTTTTAAAAAGGAACGTTACATGTGCGTTTCTTCTAATACCAATTTGACCTCAGGAGGATTCAAAAATAAACCCGATTGAAAGAATCAAACCTTCGTAGTAACAACCCAGACAACGGCACGGCTTTGAAGATCATCACAAAGGAATGTCAGCTTTTTTTTTTTCCACAGCTTTCCAGCCTCAGATCATTCCATACTCCACTACAGAGGAAGAAAAATCTCTCCTACATTATTACTGATACAACATACGTTCTTTTATTGTCACTGCTGCTGCTTTTCATTAAGTTTCTGTTGTTTTTTTTTTTTTTTTTTTATTATCTGTGTGCAGTTGAAGTAATCTGTCTGACATTGCAACTTTCATCTCCTCGGTGAAATGCTGTCACTGTGTGAGTGAGCTGTGTTTCATATCTGTGCTGTGTGTGTGTGTGTGTGTGTGTGTGTGTGTGTGTGTGTGTGTGTGTGTGTGGTGTGTGTGTGTGTGTGGTGTGTGTGGGGGTGTGTGTGTGTGTGTGAGTGTCAGCTGCTCCAGATTCCGAGTCTCTGTGATTAAACTGTAATTAGGTTGGTTAACCCCCCTGCAGAGCTCTGTTGCTGTCGTTTTCTTCGTCTCCCTCTTTTCGGCTCTGCATTTCTTTCTGCTCTGTACTCTTTGCCTTTCATTAGCTGCTCAAGGATGAAGGGGGGCTTCTTTTTGAGATTTGTCACTCGCTTTCAGTCTTCCGCCCCACCCTGGCAGATCCACTTGTCTGTCCTTTGTTGTTGTTGTTTTTCTGTTTTGTTTTAAAGTCTGTCTTATTTTTGCATCTGTCTGCGTGTCCTTCTTGGTTCAGATATTTTGTCGTTCTCTCTTTCTTCTCTTCGCCTCTGTTCCAGATGGGTCGGGATACGATTCTCCGGAGCCGTTCCTGACTGACGGAGGTCCAGGCTCCGGCGCAAGCTGGGCGGTTCTGTTAGCGGCTCTGGCCCCGCTCGTCCTGGGACCCGTCTTCAGGCTGTGACTACCCCACCCCCAACTCCCCCCTCTTCCCGGAGCGCCCATCCTGGGATGATGGGCTGGGCTGGGCTGGCTGTCCCTCTAATTCCACCACCCCTCAGGGAAGCCCTCTGTCCTCCACCCTTCTTCTTCTTCCCACTTCCACCTGCAGTATGACCACCAACCACCCTCCACTGCCAGCCTCTTTTTATGGTGCCCAGCCACAGATACCCTTTCCTGGATTACCTACAATGTTTTTATTTTATTTTTTTTATTATTTTTTTTTTAAAAGCAGTCCGGGAAGCTACTCTTCCTTCTCTTATCCCTGAATCCTCGGTGGAGCAGCACCTTTTAGCTGAAAACACAAGCGAAATGTCTCAGCACTCATATCAGGGGGTCCTTTTTTGACTTTTGACTCTTGCCCACTGATGGGGTTAGAAGTAGCCATGGCTATGATTAAACTTGTCGTTCCAGTGCAGTCCCTATCCTCTAATCAAGGCAGGGGTTTTGGGGGAGGGTGAGAAGGACATCGTACGATAGGCCTGAATGCACAAAAATTGGTTTTTTCGCTGCTTCCTCGATCTATAAATTGGAAGTGGCCAAGCTCGCATTGAAATTTGAATTCAATAGGACGTAGACCATCTCCAAAGTGCAATGAGGATAAGAGCAATTATGACGAGAGCAGGAGAAAAGTGACCAGGACTTTGCTGCGATGTGAAAAGAAAAGTGTGAAAGAATACAGCTGAGGAAAAAAAAAAACAATAAGGCAGAGTGGGAAATGTAACTTACTGCAGTGGCCAGGAAACTTGTTCATACACTTTGAGCTTTTACAATTTTGTAATCTCCAACCACAAGTTTTAGTGTATTTCCTGACATTTTATATGATAGCACAATGCAACATAACACATAATTGTGACATGCGACATACGTTTTTTAAATTTTTTTTAATAAATAAAGTATGAACATGTGGCAGGCATATAGGTTCTCCCTCCTGTATTCTATCTTTCTCTCCAAGGCTTTTGGGGTTGTAGCTCTGTCTCATCTTTAATTGTAAAATGCCCGCAGTTCAATTAGATTGGATGAAGAATCTGAAAATTTAAATTGCATTTAGATTTAGACTTTGACTGGGCCATTATAAAGAGTGAACACTTTGATCTAAGCTCCTCCATTGCATTTCTAGTTGTATTTTTCGGGCAGTCTCAAATGTTCTGCAGCTTTTTCTTGTGTCAGCCTTGTTGGACACTCATCTCTTGATAGATTTGGTTTCTTTTTATAATCGGATGATGGACTGAAAGAACTGAATTCTAATCGGCGCCTCAAACAGTTGGGACAATTATACAACTCAGTGTTTCTCTAGCACATAAAACCCCAGTAAAACACATCGAACCTGATGTAATGTGACAAAATGGGAAAAAGTTCAAGTGGTATAAACACTTTTGGCAAAACATTTCAAGCTGTGTGCGTTCGCGACAGTTTTCCAGGAGCTCTGACTTTGCATCTTGGCGACAAGTATAACCATAGCCTGTTTTAATGGGGTGGGGGACTGGGTGGGATATCATGGGTGGGTTTGGTGGGGTGTAGATTTTCAGGTGGGCTGTATTTTGTCTTTTATGTGTTTCTAAACAAAGCATTTATCACGGCCTGGCCTGCACAGGCGTATCCAGCACTAGCTAATGTCGTCTGGGTCGGGTGACTTTTGGAACCAGGACTTTCTCTTGTATGAATGTACCACTGGCCACCCACCTCTTTGTTATTTCTTTGTTGTTTTTTTTTTTCTTTTCTCCGTATTGTCATGACTGTGGTCACTTACAGTACCTTCTCTCGGACTGGCAGGATTTATCAATGGCTCTGAGATTCGACGAGAAGGCGGGGGTTGAAGGGTGGGAGGGCAGGTGAGAAAAGGAGGCGACACTCAAGTTGCATGACCACTGTGAAACCTTCAGATCAAACTTGTTTCTATTGATATATTTTTTCATGGTGAGAAAAAAGGAAAAAAAAAATCAGAAAACATCCCGCTTCAACTCTTTTGCTCTCCCTGAGACTTTTTAAGACATCAAAGGTGGGGTGGGTGGGGGTAATATTCAGACTCCTTCCTCACATAGTTTCTCCTGTCTGGGCTCTCAGTCGTTGATGGATTAGCTTGGGCTGGAAAGATAAATGGACCCGCAGGGCGAAACTGACTGGAAATCGGCCCCCGAAGCCCAACTCGGATCACGACGAACGTAAACAAGGACTGAAGCTGGTCCGGGGGGTTAAACCAATAAGGGAAGCACATAGACTGTGGCAAATGAGGCGAGGTGTGTGAGCGAGCTGCGTGTGAGGTAGCATCACAAAAACACACATATGCACACACACACACACAAACACTTAAAGCGACAGTGAAAGCCCGCACGGACAAGAGCGATCGTCAAAGAAAGAGTGTGTTTGATGGGACTCGAGCATTAAGAGTAAGCACTGTGAACACACACACATACACACACACACAGACGCACACACACGCACATACGTAACAATCCATAAACAGATAACCACACTGGCCAACATACATGCAAAAAAAAAAAAAGAGTGCAGTTGTAGACATTTACAAAGACATGCAAACGTGTACAAAACACAAACAAGGGGAAATGCTTGTTCTCCTATTCCATCTTATTTTTGTAGCATTTAAAATCACTGTTAATTACTCCTTTGTGGAATGCAGTGATGAGGTTATCGCCTCAGAAGGATTACAACAACAACAAAAGTGTGTCTTCTCTTCTTCTGTTCCACTGACGCTGTCCCTCTATCGTTTCTTCTTGTTCTCCGCCGGTTTGTGATCCACAGTTGGTAGCGGCTTTAGGATGCCCCCAGGTCTGAGCGTCATGTATGAGTTTGTCTCCTTTTCTGTTCGTGGTGTTTTTAGGGCGGGCCTTCGCCATCGGGGTCGTTCAGTTGGGAACGGTGGCGTACGCAGAAGTCGGCTCGGGGAGAGAAACACAAATAAAGATTGTCTTTTGTCTACTTGAAAACATCCCGCTTGAGTGGAATTTCTTCAGTGGAAATGTGAATTCATTCTCGTTTTATCCAATCCTCCCCCCCCAAACCTCCACGCCTCCTCCCAAAGGGCAGATGATTGTATTTATGTATTAGACTGCACCTGGGTCTTTATTTGCCCAGTCCATCTTTCTCTGACGTCAGTCTTGGAATGGAGATTATTGAGCTCTGCCAGTCAAAGCATGAAATTATTCAGAAGAAATCACCCTCGCTCATCTTCAGCTGTTTCCCCCTCAGGGAAGTGACAGCTAATCTGAACTGCTGACAACGTGGAGACAGAATAGCTTGAAAGCCTTTCCTCTTGTGTTTCTCTCAGATTTCCTGCATGGTGACTGACCAGCGATGGGAAGTAACAAAAGAGCATGTCTTCAAATGCTGTTCTGGGGTTTTAATTGTCTTGAATATTTCGATGGCCAGTTGCTTTCCACAGTATTACATTTTCGGAGGGATATATTGTGTCTTTTACTGCACTACATTGATTTTATAGTTAGAGTTAACAGGTTACTTTGAAAATGTTCTGTATAAAATGATCAGATTTTTAAAAATACACCATTTAAATAATACTAAGTGGTTACCACAAGAAAACGGTGTCAAGTTGTCATTTCTCTGCGACTGCGTTTCCATTACTTCTCCATTTCTACAGGAGCCGGTCCATGGTGTGAGAAAACCCTGCAACTTCTTCAGCGCTCCTGGTGGCCTGCGGGCTCCAGGTTCATCTGAGTTTAGACAAGACAGGTTTACAAAAGCACACATTTCTCACTGGTTAGCAGGTTTAATTCCAGTTAATCCTCCACGGGTTTAGACTGATAGTTATATTTTAATTTTATTAAACTGTTTCTTCTGACTGACAGGAAAATTTACTTTCTGATGACTTGGAGGTTGTCACTGGAGATAAATCATCAAAATATCAAAGGAAACGAGGAAAAGCTGGTAATTATGAAGAAAGTTTAAATGCTGAAATGCTAGTAAGAATTTTCCCACTGATTACTGAGAAGAGTTTATTAGATTTTTGTTGTTGTTGTTGTTATAGTTAATATGTAAATAAAACATATTATTCCTATCAGAAACAAAATTCTTTGTTGAATGAAAAATTACTTTAAATCTAAATTTGCCAGTTCTGAGCTGGGTTTAACTTCATGGGTTAAGAGAAGAAATGGCTTCAAAAAATCAAAGGTTTTTACATTTTTAAGTCTTTTTTACATTTTAAAGTCAATGAGATGCCAGAGAACATGCTGGCATGACTGTAATTTTCTCTGTTGTGCCATTCTAGGCATGAATTACAACAGCACTCACAAGGAAAAATGATTATTATTATTATTCTATCAAATAAACCTGAAAATTATCAAGCGTCTGTTAAATCTGCAATAGTGGGACATATGCTCAGTGCCTAATTCAGACGTGTAATATCTCATGGTAAGTTTAAGGCAAAGAAATTGTGATGGACGTAAAATACAGAGCACAGATTTTTATTGAACTACCGAGACATCCAGTGAACTGGGCCAGAACTTACAGGAAGGAACAGGTAAATATGGTGCCTATTTTGGGTCGAACAAGCTGTGCTTTCTTGAGACCACTTTCATTCCTGCTCTGATTGATGCCAAAGATGTGGGGAGGCATGCAGAGAAAACAAACTAAAGTGGCATATAGCGCAAAACATAGTTCCTACTTCCTACATTCACATCTCCAAAAAGTCCTGGCGACTCTGTTGGGCCCGCTTTCTTCACAGGTCAGAAAAGATTTGTTCTAAGGTTTGATCTAAATCTCAGACACAACTCTTATCTTATAAAGCAAATGAGAGTGGCAGCCAATCAGCAGCATTTTCTTTAATGAGAGACGTATAATAATCACCCAGTACTGAAAGTTAAGGTGATGTTGAAACTAAAAAGGAAATAAAATGGCTAATTTTAATGTTGCTCTGTTAAATCTCAACAACAAAAAAAAAGACTAATGCCACGCCCAATGGCTTTCGAATAAGCACTGGGGTTGCACAACAATCTCAAGGTCATAGAAACATCGAAATTTGAGAAAGCAGCTTAGCCTTTTTGTTCGAAAAACAGAAAGATGCTTTAGTTTGGTTTTAATTTGTCTAAATTAGTGGTTCTGAACCTCTTTCGCTGAGAAACCCATTTGAAAAAGCAAAAAAAAAATTTAATAGAAGTATTTGACTGAGATGGGTATTTTTTTTACTGACTTGAAGTAATGTTGACATTTTGTAATAGGCAAATTTTAGTCCCAGTTGTAATTAGGATTAGGAAGATGGCATAAATGGATAGAATAAATGTTTTGATTAAAAAAGAATGATAGATCATTTTAAATTCTAGCTTTAATGTCCCAACACTATTCAACTGCAGCACATTTACTCAAGACTATCAGATTGTGACAATGCTATATTTCCTCATGAGTACCCAGGAAAGCTTTTCTTTTTAGAAATGTACATTTTCAGGTCTTATTTCAATGATGATGTAATTAATTTTGCTCTGCTGTGGTCATATTTCTGTGGCTATTTCTGTCTCATGAAACTTCATCTCATTATCCTTGACTCTCTAAAATTTGGTATGACGGCGAGGATCGTACCTAAAACTTGTAGCCTTAGCAGAATTGCTAAGGCTACATACAACCTTGGACCAGGCCTGAAAAAAGTTAACTATTGGATTTGCTAATAATCCATGCACGTGTTCAAACGAGGACGTGTTTCACAGCTCACTTAGCTCTAATGAAGAATATTTGCACCAGGAGTTTTCTTTAAGGCTTTCCAGCCTTTTTTTCCCCCCTCAAACTGTTTCTTGGATCCACTTTTGTTCCTCAGCATTTCTTTCCACTAGTTTTGAGCACCGTCGTTGCGCTTGTTTGATCTTCTGAGCACTCTGGATTTTTTTTCAGCCAGGCTGGAGAACCGGATCCACGGGGGAGCCTCTGTAGTTCACTTAGACAGTGTGCCCCACGTGGAGCGGCTGATTCCTCCCACAGCAGGTTGGATGGTTTGATACCAGCCTCAGCCATTTTCTGCAAGTCACCGCCTCCCTTTTCACTAGATTTATCAAATAAGAGCTGCGGAAAACAACAAATATATAACAGGGATCCATTTGGATGACTTTGTTCAGCTGAACTAAACTTTTAGGGAACGACGAGCTGAAGTGTTTGATGTTACGCAGTGTGTTGGGCTCTCAAAGAAAAGCCTAAGCATCATATTTACAGATGAGGGGGAAAATGCCTGAGCAGGGTCTTGTAAGGTTCATAATATGATTTCATTATAGTTGCAGCAAGTCTCATAAAAATTAAACAACTTGAGGCTCAAAAGTCTCTGTTTTCACCTCAGAGTGACTGATACATGAACAGACTAGATTTTTGTGAGCAAGATTTCTTGTGTTCACCTCCCTTGATTTTTTTTTGTTTTTCTTTTTATGTTTTGTCATGTTACAACAATAAACCATTTAGTTTGTTTTATTGGCGTTTTCTTTGATTGAGCAATACAAAGAAGAGGAATTAGTGTATGGAAAAAGTACTGATTTTTCTCTTTTTGTTAGCAAAAACAAATATGAAGTGTTTGCTATTTGGCTGTCACAAAAGGCAAAAATGTAAAAAAAAAAAAAAAACATGTTTAGTTACTTTGCAAGGGACATTTATATGATTACATAATAGTTCCAGTGAAATGTACAAATATAAAAACAACTTTGACCTTTTGGTTCTCTGTGTGTTCGGCTCAAAATGATTGGTGCCCAAACACAGAGATATTTTGGGTTTTGTGTTTATGACTGGGGTCCAGTGGGTGGACTTGCACAATTTGCCGTGTACAACATTCTCAGCAGAAAAACCTCTTTGCTTGTATCCTTTCATTGAATCCCCAAGTAAAACTGCTTTGATCTGTATAATTTCGTAACATCCTGGTTCCTTCATAAGGAGGATTTGCCAACACAACCCTAAACTCCTTAGAGTTCAGCGTTGTTTTGATGTGGAGTTCTGATAAATTTATAAAGACTTTCGTGCAACAGCTTACACAATAAACCTTAAAGTTGAACAAACTTTTTTTTTTTGCACTCATTTCATAGCTTCCAAAAATAGGTTAAAATAAAAATGCATTTGATAAAACAGATTTCGATGTAATCTACCAATTAGAGGACAAATGAGCAATGGACTGAAACCAGAAGCATGTTGCCACAGACTATTTTTGCCACGTCTGTGGAAATACACTGTAGACAGCCTGTCTCTCTACAGATCAGAAACAACAACATCGCTCAACTTGGATTTTGCTCTGCAAGCAGGCGTTGTACGGTGAAGTGAAAGTCTACTCGTCTTCTTGTATGTGCCACCGTAAATATCGGAAAACCTTGTGTTAAAAATAACTTTCCATTAACAGCCTAATATTTCACATTCTAACTGCAGCTTGAAGAATTTGGCTTCCCTTTTGTTTTCCAGCAACTCTTCCAGCCAGGTGTGGGTGCAATCCGGAGATGTGTGTGCAATTCCAAAAACGAAAGTCAAAGACAATGCACAGAATCTCTGATTTTGACCACCATGGCTTTTATTTTTCATAAAGGGGATCTCATTAAAATAAAACAAAGAGCCATTCCCTCATTCTTTTGCCTGACATGGGACAATTACCTACTGGTGTAGATTTCAAACATGCTGAATTTTTTTAAACTTTCACTTGAAGATCTCCTTGCCTTCTTAGCTCAGCAGGCTTTCATCAGTCCAGACGTTACAAGAGCGACACAATCATCTCTCTTCCACCATCGGACCTACTGCTAGCGTAAAACAGTCAGCAGCTTTGCTGCAAAAGCGTTATTTGAAACCACTGACTTGTCAGTTTTGGCAGCATGATGCACAAAAAAACATAAGAAGTATTGTTTGGAGGGAAAAGCGAGGTGCATGAATAATAGATGAGCCTTAGCTTGCCATGTTTGGGCCTCGAAAAGCAGGCTAATGGCTATTGATGTCTCCGGTTTCAAACAAATTACCTTGTATGAGAGCTCAATTCAAATGGAAAAAAAAGAGGGTACTCTGGTGAGGAGGAGAGTAGGGAATGAAATTATCTCCTCATATTGAGATGCACGGTTGGTCAGCCAATTTTTTCGTCCTGACAAGTATCAGGTACAGGCGGAATTAGCCCAATGTAAAATTAAGCTCGATCAAGCAATGCCTTGAAACATTTCCCACATTCCCAGATCTCAACCCTTGTGAGAGGAAATATGGATGAGTGATACGACTGGAACGGAGCCAGAAATGACCAGATGTGCTGCTTGAAATCACGAGAGCGAGCGCAGCACCGAGTCACTGCGTAAAACCGTAACCCCGTTACTCTCCTCCAGATCTAATTTACCATTTAATTATTTTGGCACATTTTTAGGCCGGAATACACATGGGGAAAAGAATCAGCAGGAAAAAAATAAAAAATAAACTTGGCCTGTGTGATGTTGCTTTTAGCAATGGCCAGAAAACAAGGCCAAGGAATCCTGATGGAAACCTCTCAAGATTCTTTTCCAGTCTCTTTTCCTCCATCCGTCCCCTCATCTCTTGTTCGGCTGCTCTCCATCTCTCCCTGACACATCATTAGGATGCAGACTAATCTATTCTCCGCTCTCCCCTGTACCTTTGTCTCCTCATATTCGACTAACAGGCATGATTTAGAAATTATGGAATTAGGGCAGCACTCCCATTTCTATTAATGGGGAACGACGTGATGAAAGAGCTTGATCCTGAGCGTGCAATTTTGCTAGACTCCAATGCACGTCCTCTGACTCTACATTTCCTCCTCTTCCACGTACGCATCTGCCGTGGAAGAGCACACGCATTACACCTTAGCTGTAATTAGAGATGAAATACTAATTTTTAGCTCTTCAAGCACTGCTGGATGTGGCGTGAAATGATGGCGGCAGGAAAGTTAACTACGAAGCACTCACCCGTCCATAGACACACAGGCAAAAACACACGCAGAAGTCCAGATGGTCTCGGTGTTATTGCTGAATAATGCATGCTATGTAGACTCTATAAAAGTTACATGGGCGAAGAGAGCGAGTCATCATTCAGGCCCTATGGGCAGTCTGGTGAGGGCAGCTTTGAAGGATAGTTTGTCCAAACTTGAGACTGTAAATTGATTTTTTTTTTAATTCTTTTTTTTTGTTCTAAACCTCATTAGTATTTAGGTGCATAGGTGGGACAACGTTTAGATACAGTTACTGAGATAAAAACTCTTGACTTGTCAGCTGATACACTGGCTGGCTGTCTGCCTGTCTTTGCAGTCACCTTGAAAACGGTTTTTTGTGGCTAAAAGCACAAAAAAGTTGGGAATTACACAGTAGATTCAGAACTAGAGGCTTGGATTTCAGAGCACCGCTCAGAAGCACTACCGAGTGTATCTGGTGCTGTGTTTTCATGTAAAATACCCAAAGGAGGAGAAGAAGAGCAGAGTGGATAGGGGGGCAGGGGCAGGTCCGGGTGAAGGGTAAATGCTGCACTCCTGTGGGGAAACTGAGGAGTGCCTGTTTTTTTTTATATATATATACATATACATATATTTTCTACCCTATGCTATGGAGTTTTATGACAGGACATCCCATGTGCTGCGTTCAGGTGCCTGTTGTATACGCAGTAACTCTAATTATTACTAATAAAAGTACAAAGGTTTCGGCATATTTAAGTAAACTTGTAACTTTAAGTTTCGCAATTAATAATGAGCAACTAACTAAGCATTAGCTGGGGAAAAAACTAAGACAAACACGTTGCATATGACTAACTTGGCAAAGAGTGAGAAATGTAAAGTTAAATAAAACTAATGAAGCAAATATATGTCTACTTTAATGTGTTTTCAAAGATTTTTTTTTTAAATTGAGAACAAATGTCACAAAAATGTGTGCCACTGCAAACTCACGTGTTGAATGAGTGGTAGTATTTCCGACGACACGCGAACGCGTCATACGACATACTCCTTTTTAACGGCGGAGCTGAGTAAGTGGAGGAATTCAGGAGCGACCAGCGCCGAGTTTACATACCTTGAAGAAGGAGGAGCTTCCCCTCAACAGGTTAACAGTGAGTCTAAACTGTCTTGTCACATTCCTGGTCGTTTTTTTGTTTCCTCTAAGCGGAGTTTGAGCGGCGTCGTTAAGTTAACAAGAAAGCGGAACTAGCCGGCTAGCTGGAGTTAGCTAGGTTGACGAGTTGCTCCGTCTCCTTTTCCCAACCAGGACGCATGAGAACAACCGCAACACTTTTTAAAAATGTAAGAAAAATTTGACACTTTTCCCCCCCTCTCTCTTCATAGAAGAACTATTATGTCTTTTAAAAGTTTGTTTCATGGACTTAGGTGTTCAGCTTGTCTTTGTGTAGGGTGTGTTTTTGATTTTCCTGGTTCGGACTCGTTTTGCGAATATTTCTCGCACCTGTTCCTCATGTGATCGATACGTGACTGAAGCGTTATCAGGTGCGTTGCCTCAATTGAAATGTGGTAGTGGACCTAAATAACCAGCGTTATTTTAAACATAAAGCTTCTGTTTACCTGTGGGGGGTAGGGGGGTGGGTGGGGGTGGATGTGTCATCTGTAAACTGGAAAGTAAAAGACTTTCCAGCATGATGTCATAGGTCAAATTGTTGTGGCTCCATGATGTACATAACCGGGACTAACCCGGATGAAAATGGTCATTCTTTGAACAAATGGACACAGAGAGAGTTTAACAAAGAGAAAAACCTTGTACAGAGTTGTTACCTCAACGTGACTGGGATAAGAAAAGACGTCACTTTGTTCATCAGTAAGATCTGGAGGAACAAGTTTGGGCTGAAGAGCAAGAAAAGCCTCTACCTGTCCAGGCTATTGTTTCTAATCCACTTTCTGATGGTGCAGTGAAGACCTACAACATGAGTGGGTATGTCATTAATGCTTGTTAAATCTTTCCTCGTGTCTCTGCTTGTTTATTCAATTAGGCTGATAACAAAAATAATTAAAATCTGCCTTGTAACAGCTGATTTGAGACTTGTGCGTTTGGATTATGGGGAGGGGGGAAAAAAAACATAGACATTTGATGCAGCCATTATCAAAGTAATCATAATCTGAAAGCGATTGTTGTTCGAAACATTTTGTTCTTGAAGAATAAACTAGAGCATGGTTACAAAAATGTATATATATATATATTCGTCCATTACTCTGTCTTGTTTTGAACTGAAGTTATTGCAATGAAGATTTGATTAGTTGGTCCGGTTTCATCTCAAAAATTAGAAATGCTTTTATTTAAAATTGAAAGATGACAATTACTCCCACTGCTGCTGAATTATTGCAGTTGTACTTATTTTTATTTGCTACATATACTTAAGCAAAAATATAGAATAAACTGCAAAATTTAGTTTTAAAGTAAACTATAATTTTATGTTCTTGATCTTTATAAGGTAACAGGTGTAAAACTGGATATTATTCATGCTTTGTTTTCTGGATGCCAGTATGCAGTTGGCTGCTTGACAGAACTCTGGGCTCATAGCTTGCCAACTAAATTGATGTTATTTTACTAAGAGCGACGGGAGATGGCCCTGTAATTGCCACAGCACTGCTATCCACGTTTTTTCGCCTCCATAAACTTTTCCAAACGTTGTTGACTTCTAGTGATTGGAAACCCACTAATCAACTTTACTTTTCTGCGATTGTGTTTTGTGAGTTTATTTTGCTGCTATGAAGCTCCATATAAAGACAGATTATCTCCCCAATGATTAATAAAATCCTTTCCCATAACTTGTATGAAATCAGCTGAAAAAAAACCCATCTAAATGTCTCATTTTAAATTCTTGGCATTATTGAATTAATGACGAAAGAGTGAAGACAAGTGTCGGTAACATGATCTGAAACTGATGGATTAATAAATTGTTGGTCAGACTTCGTTTTACGTCATTAAATCACCAGCAGAAATGATCCTGACAGTCCTACAGACATGTTCAATTTCTCGTGTTGCTCCTGATAAATCCACCTTCAGTGTTATAGATGTAAACTTCTGTCCGTGTCATACAGAGTGTAATGATCTGTCAGAAAAAAGCTGTTGAGTTTCTGTGAAACATGTGCTCTCTGGTCCAAGAAAAAGGAAAATAAGAGATAAATGTAGAGTCAACGACATTAAATCATTGAGCCGGCTGCCAAGCAGACTGCCCATTTTTCCACTTTAGTTTTTTTTTTTTTTTTCCTGCTGTAGGTTTGACAAGAGATCTGAAGTCCGGGGGTTTTTGCAAAACAGGAAGAAACACAGAAATGAATAAAGCAGTACTTCCTTTATATTATCTAAAAACCTTAGGGTCAAATTGAGAGAAAAAAAAACCCGAACTTGCGTATGCCCTTATGACTGACTGGTTCTTGTCCCTGAACAAAATGATCTGTGATGAATCTTTCCCTTTCGTGAGCTGATTCTCATGTCACCTTCCTGTTGAGGCTGGTGTTGTGCCAGTCATTTTAATATCTTCTGTCCCATTTAAGTAGCCTCTTCCTAGAGGTTGTGTCATAACACGGAACAAACAGAATCATTAAGCATTGCTTCAAAATCACAATGACACCACATCCTTCACACCCGTTGGTTTCTGAATTAGAAAAAACACCCAGACAGCAGCACCCAGTGTGTTGGCCGCAGCATGCCTTGCAGGTAGTGAAGTAATCATTTGATTCTCATTATCATTTACTTCCTCAATAAAATCCTTCATTTTTTTCCTTTTTTTAGCAGTAATTACAAAAAAGTCAATTTGTAATGAAACAAATTGAGCAACTCAGCAGTTGTAGCTTCCAGCTTCCTGACAACACGCACTCAAGTATCTGAGTTAGGATCGCGACGTCTGATTGGTGATCTGAACACAGAGCCTGCATTGAGCCGCCTAACATGAAGTTGTTGTTCTCACATTATCAGCAGGCAGAAGTTACTGAACTGTTGCTGAGGGTGTTGGGCTTTAATAGTTTCAGACATCGTAAACAAGTCTGCAGCCCTGGTAAAGGAACCTTATTTGAATTTTAATGTCGTCATATATAACCTTGTTGTTTTAAAGTGATCTGGTATGCAAATTGCTTTGTCACAATAAAATAGTCCCACAGCTGTTGCATGAAGTGAGTGATACTGAAAGAATATTGTCTCTCATCTTAAAGGTACAGTTTTACCTCTGGTTTTAATGACAAACAGCTTTTCATTTGTAAGCTGTCGTAATGTTTCATTTGTTAATTTTTAATGCTCTTTGCAGGGAATTCTAAATCTTAGAGTAGGTCTTAAATTTGAGTGTAATTTATGTTGCAGAAGATGCAATGCAGGATTTATAAAACGGACTATATTTAGGTGAATCTTGTGTTTTATAGAAGCAGCATGCGTCTTAGTTCCTGTTGCACGAAGCTGCACATGCTGGATGTAAAAGGAAATGAATACAATGATCTAATATAGGTAAATAAAATGATGTTTGAACAAGACAAGTAAAGTATGAGAAAAATTAAAATGGAGCTAAAAAGAGCTGAAATCATGAATAATTAAATTAGTACAAATCACATTGGGAGACATCACAACAATGGCTGTGTTTACATACACAACAATATTCTGACTATTGATCTTCAAAGGAATATTCCGATTATGCTCTTTTTATGAGTTTCATTTAGTTTGTTTTCCTCATTATTTCCCCTTTGGAATCATGCAAAGCTTTCATCAAATCGTCCTTTAACATTCAGAGCTTTGATTGTGCTTCTCACCCTCCAAAAGTTAGCCTCCTTCACAGCTGCTGTTTAAGTCTGATTAAGGTGTAAACAAGTCTGCATACCAGAAGTTTGAGTGTCAGAAAGAGAAGAGGGGGCTAGATTAAAGTTTAGTTCAGAGAAACTCACAAAGATTAAAACAAATAAATGTTGTCGTATTGTTTATGGAGATTCACCAATCAGAACCATTCAGTTTTTCCTTGGTCAGTGATTAGCAGTCAAATACAGAATTCAACTTGGTGTGTTTTATCTGGAATTAGATTGTTTTCTATAATCACAATGGTTAAGGAAGTTATTCCGATGCATACATTTGAATAATCTAGTTCCTCAATTTTTTTTTATCCTCTATCAAAGAACCAGAATTTTATTTTATTTTTTTTTGTCTAATTTGTTTTAGACACGTAAGAAAATAAGATTCAGTCTGCAAAGTGTCAGCCTTGTCTGCATTTAATCTTGTGCATGCCATCTAATTAAATATTATTAAATCAGTATATTGAATCCTAAGTAACAGGATGAGTGTGCTGAATTTAGCAAAGGACTGCTAGTAACATTTGGTAGGGCTGCATGTTGATAATATAGTTGGCCTGTTGGATGTATGTTTTTACTAACAGAGATAGCAAGTCTGAAGGGAAGTGGTGGGGATGTTATGTAATAGTAAAGAAGGAAGACAGTCAGAAAAATGTGTGTTTACTGTAATCGGTATTCTCATAAGTTTGTTGAAGGTTGTTGTTGCTTCCACTTGCGGTTTTAAACTGTGTAACATCTTTCCAGTTCCCAGCACTCGGTCTCAAGGTTTATTTCTTTATTTACAACTTTCAAGTCCTTTGCAGCATACATTATTCGGCTAACTACCCTGTGTTGAGAACCTAGTGCTTCTTAAGAATCAACCTTGCTTTGTTTAGGTTTTGCATTTTTCTTTTCCTCTCAAATGCAAACCGAGTCAGCACTAAACATGCTACGATTCATTACCTTTATCTAAAATATAAGTAATTTGTCTTCCATATTTCAGGTAAGTTGTTTAGCAGCACAGGGTGTGTGTGACTTGTGCTTTTACATCAAGCTTTAACTCGCATATTTATATCACATCGATGTAAATCTGATGAGTTTTCAATCAGGAAAAACCCAATCTCCCCCTGTTCAAGCTGCTTCATTTATTCAGCTGTCAAGTAATCAATTTAACATGAGAAGAGATGGATAGGTGAACCTTGCATTTCCAGATTTCTACCCAGTAAATGTTTGGAGCTCTTATCACCTTAATAATTAATAGATGCATTAAAAAGTGAGACCTCAGTCGATAAACCATCCTGGCTATCCACTGGTAGATGTTGGTGTACAGAAAATGTATACATTTGTAAAAGCATATATGTTAGCTGATATGTTGTTAAGTCATGGAGGTCATGATTTTAGATTATTTAAAGTCCTTTTAATTGTGTTTTTATCTTCCCACAAAACACTATCACTAGAGGAGTATCCTGCTTGTTTTTATTTATATATCTTTATTACATTTTTTTTGTACATGTACTGCTCATTCCTCCTAAAATATAAAAGCAGAGACTCTTGAGAGTATGAGACTGTAGTTTCAGGGAAAAGGCTTAGAAATGTAAAATATAAACATCATTTAAAACAAAGAAACAAAGCAATGATTATTCCTACTGAGGTATAATAATTTACAACCTATTCAAATTAAAAAGTTTTTTAAAAGACTCAAAAGTTAGAGATAAATCAAAGTTTTATCTTTAAAACATTTAGAGGTAAAACTGGGCCAAATATACTACAGACAAGGAGAACCTGAATGCATCATTCTTGCATAATAAGCAAACACTCATTGCAGTCCAGGCAGCTCTTTTCAATACGATTATGTGAACGTCATTGAGATAATGAACAAGCAACATACTGTCCAGTTCTAGTTATTATTCTTGTTAAAATAGTATACAATAATAACTGTTAAAGGTCAAAACATTTGTACTGAAATATGGATTTTGATTATGCTACGTTCTATGAACAAAAACATCAAAATATGCTATCAGGAGCTTTGAAGTGCTCATTGTGCATCTTTCTTTTTTTTTTTTTTTACAATAATGCTCCTTATAGAATAAAGCGAGGAAATGTGTTGCTCCTCTACCACCGCTGTTTCAACATTTGAATTTTCCTCCAAATCAAATGAAGCACTTAAACATTTTTTGTATTGTAGCATAATTGAACATTTTAGTGATTGTGTAACCTTTAAACTATTGGTTGATGCTCGTATGCCTTTTCACTACAAGTTTTTCTTTTAAATACAATCTATTTATTTAACATATGGTGAATTGAATCGACAATATGCATGTTTGCTGTTATAGGTACTTTGCTCTCTGTACACATCATTCTCAGGTTCAGGGTCATGTGAATCTTATTAAAGTCGAAGTTAACGGTAACTATTAACTCACTCGCGATCCTCCCTCTTCAGGCCGCAGAATATTGAGCTTGGAGCCACAGGCGGAGCCGCGAAGCAGGACAGAACCAACATGGATGAGATGAGTGTGGAACAAATGGCTGTCAGAGCCAACCAGCTGACAGATGAGGTACTGAATCCTGTTCTTTCCCTGTTTCTCTCTTGGTGAATGTTACATTATTTTGGTGAATGAAATGAAACCTAGAATGTTTTGGGTGCTCACACTAAAGGCTTTAGTTGCTTAGTCTCTTCACTTCAACAAATTGAACAAATTTATTTGGATACATGGATATCACTTACAGTTCAATTGTGTGAACCTTTAGTCAACAATTGGTACACTAGCATTGCAAGACAGTGAAAATGTCAGTCAGATTTTGAACAGATACTTCTGAAAACTGACTCATCTGGAAACTATGAATATGTAAAGCAGAAGGAGTTCTTCTTGTGAAGTACTTGTGTAAACATAGGAAGCAGTGGTTACAAGTAAAGGCTAAACATCACCAACGCTGAGCATTGATGAAAATTCATTTGTTAAACGGATACAAAACCACATGTCCTCATTTAGTGACTTGTAGTAAAAGCAAAGAAAGATGTGGTCTAAATGTGCAAATTAGTACATTTTAACTATGGTTATCAATGAGGAAAAATATCAAAACAACTTTATTATATTATGGAACAATATTTTTAGCCTTTTTGTTGCATAATATGACAGGGGGAAAAACAATTCTTGATTTCTTGAGGAAAAGCATGGAAGGTGTGAGGTTTTGGTTCCTGGTAGCTTCCTGACCTGTCGGTGCTTTTTGCTGGTTGACTTTCATTTCAATCTGCTTCATTACTATGAAGTTGATAGTTTAACTAGCACTGGGCACCAAATAACCAAACTGATGACAAAAATACTCAGCTCTAATGTGTATCGGTTCTAAACTTCTCTTGTTTGTCTCAGCTGTGTTTTTCTGCTTTCTGTGTTTGAACTAAACCTGCAGTTTTCTTTCCACTCTTCTGTTTCTTGTTTTTTTTCTTCTTCTTCTTCCTTGTGCTGCTGCCTGGTTGATAAAGGAGGCGTGTGGGCATGGAAATGTCCTGCTGCTAATTCTGCTAACCGCCCTGGCTTTGGGTAACTGACCAAACCTTAAACACTCAACGCATGACTCACTGTGTATTAGGACATTCTAATTTATTGTTTAAAATGCAGTATTTAGGAATAAAAAATGCAGTGCCCTGCATAAATGTTATATACCTTGCGCTGTTATTGTTAGTTGTTAGATCACGACAAATTTAAATAGCAAATAATTGTGAAATATTTGGAAAAGCCTGGCTTTTTTTTTTTTTTTTAATTTTGTTTTTCTTTTCACTAAAAAGCATAGCATGCATCTGAATTTAGAACCTACACCTTAATGCACAATAAATAAAACATTTGGTATTTCAGAAATGAGCTAATTGGTAAATAAAGTACATTTGTGTTTATTCTCAGCAGAAAATCTGTAAAGATATCAAAATTTTGTTAGAAAACGCTGGTCAATAAGAAGAATGACAACCAAAAATACAGCAGATAGCTGAGGGAAATAATTGCGGAGATGTTGACAGCAGGTTGACGTTATGAAGCAATATCCTAACCATTTGTTGCAGACAGTTCAGTCAGGTGTCCAGAATTGGGACGTCAAACCTTTTGAGACATTGACAGTAAAGATTATAAAGGCTGGACAAGTAGAGCTCTAGTCAGAAGAACTGAAAATAACTTTTCACATAACCCTCAACTCATAATCTCTACAATAAAACCTGATTATTGCAGCATAATGCTGCGTGGATGCTTTTCTTCTTCATGGACAGGGAATCGCCTCTGAAATTCAGCAGCTGTCAATAGAGCAGAATGTATTTGTTAGAATGGGTTTCTCTAAGTCCAGACCCAAATCCTTTAGAAAATTTCTGGGAAAGCAGAATATTGATGTTTACTTACAGCACCCATCTAATCTTAGGGAGTTTGAGCTATTATGCTAGAACGAACGGGCAAAATATTGTAAACATACAAAACTGGCAGAGACATAAAAGTAGATTTGCATCAAAATACAAATGCAATTAAAATCTTTTTGTTTTTCTTTTGCAAAACATCAAGAAACACTTTTTTTTTTTAGTCAAATTTCTAATTTGCTGCCTCAACAAACCAACATTTTAAGTTGGTTTGAGAATAAAAAAATATGCATAAAAGAAGCTGAAATTTGTGAAAGTTCAAAGTATATAAATACATTTTAAGGCACATTTGAAAGGTTATTTGACATTTAAAGTAGACCTTTAAAACATTTTTTGTCATAATTTGATACTTTGTAATCTTGGCATATTACAGCCATGCTGTATGCTTTTGGGTGTGTGTGTGTGTGTGTGTGTGTGTGTGTGTGTGTGGGGGTGTGTGTGTGTGTGTGTGTGTGTGTGTGTGTTTCTGATAGGTTTTCATTGTAGCTTTTTGACATTTCATCTATGGAAATCTATTTTCCCATTAAAGCTTTCTGGCTCAAGTGCTAAAAGCTAAGCTTTTCTATGTCTAAGATTTGGGACGTTGCAACAATCTGGCAACTTTTGGCAGCGATTTTAGGCTCAACTGGCCAAGTCGCAGGATTGGAGAAGCAATAATGTAATGTTCATCTGAGCAAGGGATGTTCTGGCTAAGTCAACAGAAACCTGGCTGAGCTCAACACGTCCCGTTAGCCAATTTGTGTTTGTCTGTTTCTCAACTGGCCGATGAATGTATTCAGAGCAAACACAAGGGAGAAAATGAGGAATCTCTTCTGGACTCTCTGTCAACTAATAATTAGTCATAGCAACTGTGCAGTGTTGTGCTAAGCCGCTGCAGTTGCTGGGATTCTGTGCAGCATTTCCTATTAATAGACGCATGAAGGGCGTAGCTTTACCTGAACCGACCGCATTCCTTTCCACTGTCACTTCTTGCCTCTTGTGTTTTCGTCTATTTACTTTTGTGTGAGTTTTTACCTGATCAGGGACTCCAAATTATTATATGGCTGTTTGGAAAGAAAAAAAAAAAAACAATTTGCTTTAGATTCAATAAGAAGTCCATATGATTCATTCTTCAAAAACTGAAAAATTGTAAATGTATTAATTACCAGTTGGTGTTTCTGTGCTCCTCCATAAGCCTCCTATGAAAATCTTGTTGATCGCAAAAACTTTTGATGTTTTTATTCTGGAGTTTGTTGGCAATAAAATTCAGAAATCACTGCCAATGTTTATTAGTTCTGACCACAGGGGGGCAATTTTAGTCTTCGGGGGCTGGTAGTCTGAATGTAATCTGAAGTAATTTGCAAAGATCCTACTGAGTCTGTTAGACTCAGTAGTCTGGAAAAGGAAAATCATGTTAAAATTATTTCACCTTCCAACGTTGTGTGTGGCTCCAAATATAAGGGAGATTGCAAAATTCTGGGAAGGTAAAAAAAAAAATAAACTTGAGTATTTCAAAGTAGATTGTAAATAATGACACTTTATTTTTATTAGTGTCAATGTCAGTCACTGACAGTTAAGTTTCATAATATTGGCCTAAAAATGATCTTGACTATATTTTCCCTTCCAGTCTCTGGAAAGCACAAGGAGGATGCTGCAGATGGCGGAGGAGGTGAGACTTTTGATGTTTTTATTCGGGTCTTGTTTTATCTACCTGAAAGAAAGTGCTAAAAATGTAGCATTTTGCTTCACATAATGCAAAAAACTATGTGGAGAGGCAAAAAGCTACCTTGTTGTTGAAACTTTTTTTTTTCTTAAAACCTACTAGTTATTTTTATTTTTTTCTAGCAACGTCAAAATTTTTTAATTTTCAACATGACTACCTTTTAATCTGTCTACACTTCTGTGAGAATGCAATCCATACTTTTTATTTTTATTTCTTTTCCAGAGCCAACAGACAGGAAACAAAACCATGGAGATGCTTGACCACCAATCAGGTGAGCTCACAGCATCCACTTTTCATCACTATTAAAGAGAACAAGGTAGTTCTTGATTTATAACTGAGATATTTCTCCTTTTGAGGTTTTAAGAGTAATAAATGTCAGACTAGAATCTACAATGATGTGGTTACTTTTTAAAAAAGTGATGGATGTTCAAATGTTTTTTGTTTTTTTTATGTGAGCTCATAAGGCCGAGTGAAATGTTCTATATTTTCTAATTTGCAATAGATTTGTACCAGACGCTTCTCAAACAGGAGGAGCGATAGTACAACATCCAAGAAGTAGATGTAAAAGTTCTTCTAATCCACAGGGGGCCAAAATTAAACATTCCTTTCTCTAATCTATACACAACCCCGGCTGACATTTAGCTAAATGTCCCTTAGCAAGTTTCAGACATATTCAACTCCAACGCAGGTAGTGAGATCCAGGTAGGATTACTGCTGAGTATTTGAAGTGTTTCTGGGATTGCTGTTCTGTTGGGACAACCATTAAGTTGTTAAATTAGATTATTATTATTATTCTAGTACAGCAGCAAACGGGAATTCTAACAATCTTAAATAAACTCTTGCATTTCTGTGAAAACGGTCAAATATTCACATCAGAAAATCTGTTTTAGCATGATCTGTAATGCAATGCAAACCCATAACACTTGTCCCACATCAGTTTCTTCCTCTTCCGTCGTAAAAACATGTTTTTTATTTAACATGACGACAATTTATTTAAATGACTAACATAACATGTTTTTATCTAGAGCAACTGAAGAATGTGGAGCGGGGCATGGACCAGATCAACCAGGACATGAGGACGGCTGAGAAAAACCTGACGGACCTGTCCAAGTGCTGCGGCCTCTGCGTCTGCCCCTGCGACAGGTAGCCTGTCCGTTCCGCCGCCGTTTCCTGTTTTCGCCTCGTCCTGCATGCCGCCGCCGCCGCCGCCGATTCTCCTGCCGTTGCAATTATAACGTGTCAAAAAGAGAACGTGTAGTTGCACTGCAAAGCTACAGAAGGCGTCAAATGGAAATTGCTTCAGTATTTATGCAGCTTAACACACTTCTGTGATGCTGGTTTGTTTTATTGCTGTTTTTTTTTTTTTTTACATATAAATTGCAAATGTTGATAGCAGAGAACTACTCACCATTTAGCATAAATCTGCTTGGAAAATGTGCATTTATCATGACGTTAAAAGGCTGCATTTGATTCTAAACACGGACAAAATCTTTCTGAAATGCTTTCGTTTTGGAAAAGAAGATACTTTGATTATCAAGACATCAGGTAGGGAATCTTTTATCGTCACGCTCCATTGATTAGCATCTGCAATAGCTAACTGTTGAACCTGCTAAGAAAGAGCTACTTAAGTTTTGCGTGTGTGTTCACTGTAACGCAATGCAAGTTTTCAACTGGATTAAATTTAATTTATTTTTTGTCCCCAGGGTTTCATCCATCGAGAATGACTCCCGTTACAAACGTACGTGGGGCGAGGGCGAAGGTGACGGCAAAGGCTCCAACGTCGTCTCAAGGCAGCCTTCAGGCGTTCGCAACGGCCAGAGCGCCCAGACGAAGGCCGCGGCGCCGTCCGGCCCCTACATCAACAGGTAGCGCTCCTCGTCTTTCCCGCCTTCGGGGAATTCCCTCGTATCCCAATACAAACCGCGGCGTGTCGATTTTCAGAGTAACTAACGACGCGCGGGAGGACGAAATGGAGGACAACCTCCAGGCAGTCGGCGGCATCATCGGCAACCTGAAGGACATGGCTCTGAATATGGGCAACGAGATCGACAAGCAGAACGCTCACCTCGATCGCATCAACGATAAGGTGAGTCTGAGGCCGATTTTGGCGTCTTGTTTCTGCAAATTTTTGTAGTTTCTTTCAAAAGACTGTGAAGTGGGTTGTCTTTAGAGTTTCATCTACTGCCAGCTTGTGGTTTTAACAAACCTTTTTATTCTTTTCTTATCTAAAGAAGAAATGCCAAATATTTTCAGAAAATGGCTTTTATTTCAATCCTCCCTTCTAGAAGTTGTATGATTGAGGCTACAGGAAATTTGGCCTAATTTCAGTGCTGGCAGAATAAAAAAATGGAATTTTACTAAAAGTTTTAAAATTATGTATGTTTTTCTCTCCCGTTATTCATGTTTTTTTTTACTCTATTCTCCTTCCCTTCAGGCCGACATGAATAAACTCCGCATCGATGAAGCAAACGCAAGAGCCAACAAGCTCATCAAATAGACGAGGAAACCTGCTAGTCTCAGACGTCCACTTTGAGCCTGTTCTGCAACACACATTAAACCCGTCTGCACACACACACACTTACTGAGATCAAAATGTAAAAAAAATCCAATTTGGATCATGAAGACTTTTCACCAGGGTGCCTTTGGCAGCGTCCGCCGCGCTGCCAGTAGTCACGCTGGACTGTCTGGAGCGGTGAGGGAATCCGAAACTGAACCAAAGAGGAAGCGACTGACCGAGCGCCGCTGCTGTTCGATACCAAAAGTCCCAACACGGCAGCACGACACTCACCACTAGTGAGCGAGCTCAGGTCAGCTGGTTTCTCTCTTCCTCAGGTTTCCGGTGTGTGTTGTGACGTGAGGTCACTTCCTCCCACCTGGAGATCTCAGTGAAATCTAAAATGGAAACTCCTCAAATTCTCAAATCCCGGGTTTATTATTATTACTGTTAGAGTTATTGTGCAACGAAGCTCATTGACATGTGGTGTTGTGGTCTGATTATGCCTAATTTAATTATCCGCCAAGCAGAAAGGAAGTGAGAATAAAGGCGTTTTCAGCTATTTGTTCCCATGTTTTTGCCATTTCAGATCTACAGGCGAATCCCAAGAAATTAGACGTGGAATATCATTCGAAAAGTGAAACTCTTAACGTTGTATAGACTCAAAACACACAGTGTGGTATATTTCATTAAAAAAGTCAGTGCACCTGGTAAAAGGGTTTTTTAATACAGTATGTTCAAGGACTGAGCAGTATATGAACATAGCCATCAAAATTGAAATGCATAACTCTATGCCTAATAATGAGCTTCACGTCTTGATTTGAATTGGAAAAAATACATTTTAATCATATTTAATGGAGATTCGCCTGTAAATCCTGTTTCAAAAACCTTATAAATCCAGAATCTGCCATTTTGGAGTGAACCAGGACAAATCTCTTCATGCTGGAATTTAAAAACAAACAAAACAAAAAAAAAAGCTTCCCCATTAATTTCTCACATTTTGATCCTTCAGACTGAGGTTCTTGTATAAATATAATCATTTCCTATCGTAACAACTCATACCTACCAACCCTTCATTAATTTATTAGCTCTTAAAGCAAATATCAACACTGAATTTGGGAATAGATGTCCAGGCTTAACCATTGAAACTTCAGCTGTGTTACATTTATCTCTAGATTTTTGTTTTGTTTTTTTAGGTTTTCCTCTGATAGTCGTGTTGCTGTAAATATGAAATATTCTCTAACTGTGTAGTCATTCTCTCAACCTGACTGCTTTTTTTTTTTTTTTTTTCCTGATGATGGTTTAATAAAGATTTATTGCTCCCAACTGGAGACTGAACTCCTTCACAAATCAGGTAATGTGCAGAAAATTCACTTCCTCATACTCTGTAATTGCACAATCTGTAAACATATAATAACAAATGGTCAGTCTTCAAATACATTTGTAATATATATTTTCTGTATTTTGTTTAATGTCACTCGGGCATTGTTTTGTTTTAGTGGTTTTCTGGGCGTCGTCTGCAGCTTTGAGAAGTTCAGATTCAAAAGCCTTGTTTTCTTTTTTTTTAATGGTAATATGTGATCTTCCCCATATAAATGACAATTACTGTGTTGTAACAGTCATTGTATCGCCTGCTGCATCCACTCGGTCCGTTTAAACACCGCAGCCGCTGTGAGCGTTATCACATCCGACAATAAAACATGATCCCAGTTTATTTTGGCTGAGGAATTGCAGCAGGATGCAGGAAGTACACAGGATGTAAATGAGCTGCTCCAGGTGGACTGGATGCATCCGGTGGGGCTCTGCCACGCTCTCACATGGTATACAACCCCTAACGATGAATAATAGTGCGCCCTGAACTCGTCCCCCATCAGCATCTCCTGGCTTATTTGTTCTGAGAAAACCGACCGTCTGCCAGCGTGGCTGCAGGCGCCCACCTGTCAGGTTTGGAAAGATTGACATAAACTGTCGTTCGGTGCTCTAAGTGATCAGCCTCAGCTTGTTACCGGTGACTTGAGATCTAATTATTGTGATGCTGCCCGCCAGCAGCCTGCTCTTCGTGTCACCAACAGCTACCAGAATGTAAATGCGACTCGTTGGTCTGTTTTTAGTTTCATATTCAGCTCGACTTGACAGAAACTGGCTTGTTTTGAACTCATTGCGGTTGTTTCACATCTGTCTCTATCACTTTGTTTATATGCAATAAACTTTACTCTGAAGGTTGAGTTCATGCATTTTTCATGATTTCTTTTTTTTTAAGTGTTTTTGGATTATTGGTGTTTTTACACAACAGTAATAATGTGAAGGATTTTTTTCCTTTTTTTTGTATGCTGCATTTGTATTTAATCTCTTCACTCCAATACACTAAAATTAAATCTAATCTAAAGCTGGAAGGAGCAAAATATGGGACAATTTAATGCGCTGCACTATTTTGTCTTGGAATAAAACTCAAATTATGAATTTTTAGTTGCAGAGTGACAAAATCTGAAAATGCTTGGTGAACAGCGTTACTAAGCACTGTGTAGAGAAAAGAGTCAAAGCAGCCGACTGTTCCTGGGTATTGGTTTTAAACTTTATTCTCAAAATGTATCCTGATGATTTCTCTCAACATTTTTGTATATTTTATATCACTGGAGAAAGAGTACAAAATGCAGATTAAAAACCACCGAGCAGAAATGGTACGGAGTGGATGGAGGTGAGAGTAGACATGTCACATTCTTATCATATAGTGACCAATTAAAAAAAAACAAATACAATGCAAGTCTTTCAAACCATTTTCAGGTGTGTTTTTTTTTTGTTTGTTTTTTTTTAGTCCAAATTTAACATGATGCTCACTGTTTGAGAGGACTAGAGAGTCACTAGACTGGTTCTTAAGTGCAGGTCATTAAAACTTGAAGTGAATGGTCTGCCTTTCTAAACATGGCTTTTTGTTGAGGTCACTTGAGTTGTACTGTGGCTCGGGGTGAAGAGCCTGCAGTACGAGGCCGGACAGCAGCGTTAGACTGCATTAGTGCCGCCACACTTGACTCGCATGGCTTGTTTCCTGTAGTTTTCTTGTTTGCGCGTGTCGATGGTTCTGCCTCATTATGCAGCGTTTCACTCTGAAGTCACATTCACGTCATAAATACTCCCAGCTTCTTGCTGCTGCTGCTGCTGACCCACAGCCAGTCCTCTTGCGTCTTTTATTCCAATCATGTCTCAGGACGTGAAGCGACGGCCTCTGGTTTAAATTCTGACTCTTTGTTTACCGATTGTCTGTTTGCATCGAGTAAATGAAATCTAGCCAGTGAGATGACGGGTGTTTCATAAAGAGTGGCTTCTAGTTATTGATTTTGTTTTATTTTTTTACAATTTGTATCATAAAAAGGCTTTTTTTTTCCAACTATGAAGTTTCTTTTTAAATTAGGTCACTTTTTAACATGTCTATTATGAATTCTGGGTAAACCTTTGTTGGACTGTTTAATTTTTAAAACATTTTTTACATTAACTCCACCAGCCAAATGGCATGATGATGCCACTTCTTTATTTTGAATACTTTTGATTCAAAGAAGAGAAGAGCAATGAGTTCTTCTGTCCGTTAGGCTGTGGACGACTGGCAGCTCCCACTGATTTATTTATAAAAAATTTTCCCCTTAGCTTCTTTTAGTTGGTGTGCTTTGCCTTCATAAAACCAGGCCTCATAGAAACAGGTTCCTTAGTTTTTAGTCCAAGCTTCTGTAAGCATTAAAGACCCAAACCACCCCAGCATGTTTCAAATCCATGAACTCAGGCCTCCCAGTTGGGCAGACCAACAGGTTCAGTGCTTCTCTGTTAATCCTTGCATTTGTAAAAAAAGAGAGAAAAAAACCTGAGCTGCAGAATCGAACCTCTAAAAGTTTTCTTCCAGGATTTCCTTGCATTTTCCTCCCGTCTTCCAGACTATTTGACTCTACATCGTTCTGCAGCCTCTCTGTCCCTGTGAAGAGACGAATCACAGGTTTCTGCAGCTAATTCATATGTTCATAGAAGCCTGAGCATTTGAAGGCTTTTTATTTATTTTATTTCTTTTTTTTACACTAAATCCTGCAGATGCGAGCCACCTTTATGAAACACCCCGCAGACGGAAGAGTGCTAACAGAACTCATTAGTGCGACCGCAAGTTGGTGACAAATAAGGCATGTCAAGTTGGTCTTGCTTGAGGAATATCATAATAGCACCATGTCAAAACATACTCCATGCATCTGCAGATAATATAGTGTGTACATGTCAATGAATAGATATGAAAGTCAGAGTTTGTTACACAAGTGTTGGATATATTTGAAATTCAGGAAGAAAAAGAAAAGTAACTATCAGAGATGAGTTGATGTCGGTACTTTCAACCCACATGACCGCTACCATCACTTAAAAAATAAAAAAGCGAAACAAAATCTCTTCACTCCGATTCTTCCCGGTGCATAGAGCGTTTAGTTTGCATAACTGCAATTACACCTGCAGTGTGTGCGTGTGTGTGCGTGCGCCGTTCTGCACTGCGCCACGCTTTCTTCATCTCCAAATCTTTTCCACTGCGTTTTACAAAGCTCCTCTCAGACGGCGTGTATTTCACTCTGCGTCGGTACGTAGCATCTGGTGCTCAGAGCTCAAACAGCACAGTATTACAGTTCACAACCATTTTTATAAGGCAAATTGATGAGAATACCTTAATGTCCTGTATGGCTTTTGTCAAAGCATGCCTAAACAAAGCACAACAAAACTGAAGCTGAACTAAAAAATAAAATAAAGCAAAGTTTTACAAACTATCTTTGGTTGAGTGTGAAGCATTCCTGTGCTTTTAATTTACTCTGTCACCTTAGCATTTCTAAATACAAATAAAAAAGGATTTTCGTAATCATACACTTGCTTAAATACAGGCAATAGTGATGGCTTTCAACCTAAGCTACACTGTCACAAAAAGCATATAAAAAAACTCAAAAAAAAAACAAAGAAGGAGAACAAAACCGGGTGATAAACAGCTCGCTCCGACTGGTCGTCCACAAATACTACTTCCTCTTTCCAGGTTGCCTAGGCTACTGCCTCTCCAGGCGGCTCTCCTTTTCTTTTTCATTCACTTCTTCTTGGCAAAGCGGCTGAACTTCTTCTCCTTGTCTTTCTTGGCAGAGCCGGGCTCAGGCAGGGCAGCCGAGGAGGAGGGAGCGGAGGGCAGGCTGTGGGTTTTGGACCCCGAGGGGCCCGGGGCCTCCTCCGCTGCCAGGGTCTGAACGGCCCTCTCCATGGCCTGGCTCCAGCGCTGGAGCTCCTCCTGGAATACCATAAAAAATAAAAAACATGGAGTCGGCTTAGGAAGGGAATTTCCCCCCCAGAGAGGCAGTGTGTGGCTTCGTCTTGTAGTTTTTACTGGTTTAGCTCAACGGGTGGAGATTGTGCCTATTTACACCCTGAACGCTGAGGGTCATGTGATTCATAAAGTACAAGTTACACATGATTTTTTTTATCAGCAGTTTGAAGACGTACCTCGTCTTTACACTGGAACAGATACTCGCTGCCATCTGCAAGACTGCGAAAGGAAACAAAAAAAAAGTCAGATGTAATGAAACGCTCTGTGTTTAAACACACGTGAGGAACGTCCGTCGTGTCGCTGCATCCTGGTTTGTTACGTCTGGGTCGCTTTATGATTATGATTACGATGATGACAAGCGGTCGCATGTCCATAAATCGTAGGGTCAACTTTACGCCCGCAAAAGCACTTGCACACCTTGAACTTGTTCACGTTTTGTCACATTTTAACCACAAAGTGGGATTTCATGTGATGGAATAGTTCACTAGCAGACCCTTTTTTTTATTACTAATGTAATAAACATTTACAGTTTAGAGTGAACTCGTCGCCTACTGACACAAACAAAAGCTTTGAGTGACAAGGAGCAGTTTGAGGAAAAACAAATCTTATACAGTCTCTCAAAAAGTCAGTGTCAAGGATCTGAGCTTCGATCCGGCGTCCATGTCAGTTCTCCAGCCAGAAGAAGAGAAAACAGCTGGATTTATTCTCTGATTCATCTGTGGTGCTCTTTCTCGACGCTGTTGGTTCTGGCACGACAAAGTCCCCTGGAAAAAGTTCAAAAGGTGTGAATACTTTTTTAAACAGCGTTTAATTATTTCTGAAGCCCAAAGTCCACAGCAGCAGCTCGGTAATTAAAGCTTTCTTTACATTCATGAGTCCAGTAATCCCCGCCTCAGGCAGGCGGGACGGCTCGCCGTCCCTCCCTGGAGCCTGGCGGCTGCGTCAAGCTTTATTTGACATTTGATGAGAATCCCCTCCAGCTCCAAAATGTCACTTGAATAACACTCGTGAATCACGGCACTTCAGCCAGTGCTCAACACGAGAGGCTCTCAAGTTTAAAGACGTTTTTGTTCCCGTTATTACATTTCAGACTCTGACAAGCTTTGGCTGGTGTTTTCCGAAGTGGTGCATTCTGGGGATTTCATGTCCGCTTCGGATGAGTTCCTCGTCCCGGGTTCCCTTCATGCAACGGCGCCGTGATATTTGCATCCGGAATTTCGGGACGTCTTTTTTTTTTTTTTTTTTTTTTTTTTTTTTTTGCTTGTCACGCAGGCCCGCCGATTTGAAAAGCAGAGAAAGCGTTTCTGTCTTACTGGGTTCCTCTTTCCCTTCATGTTCTTTACGACATACGTCTCACTTTCTGACTTCTGCCTCGTTCATTCGCCGCAAAAAGGCCTTTTAATTGATTTTTTTTTTTATTCTCGGTTGTCGTATTGACTTTTACAGTATGAATTATTTATGACTGTGATCGTCTTCTGCATAGACAAAAATTGCTCTTGGTGGAAAAGCCAGAAAGTTTTACAATTATAACTTTCTCCTGCTGCGAAGACATGATTTATCTCTTTAAATCCCCCAATCGGCTGCTGAGAGGAGCCCAGTGTTGTTGAGCGATACCACAGAAAATTAATCACACCCCTGAGCTGCCGATTAATGACATTTAAGATTAATCAGTGGAAGGAGATCAGAAAGCAAGCATCTGAAAAATTCATTTATTTTTCAAGGTAGAATTTTTTTTTTTAACCATTTACAAGTGTCTCTGTTCAGTGAAGAGTAATAAGTTTGACCAGAATCTCTCATATTGCCGGTTTAAGGCAAAATGCACTTTTCAAGTGCGGATTTCATTTATTAGTGAAAAAGCTAATGACATGTGCAGTCCGATCATGTTCAAAGGCTCAGAACCTAGCATCTGAACTG